ATGCACGACACAGCAGTCGGCCGTCTCTGATTGGTCGAAAAAATCTGTTTGGATCACGTGATATTGCCGGACGTAGACGTGAGTGGCGGTCCAACTGCTGCACCACCATCATCATCATCATCACCATCCATCCTTTGTGCTGTATTCTCGTCTATTCGGCCTCATTTACTTACATGTTAATCGTCACTCCGTTGAGTTTCTACTGTTGTGAACGCACAGAGAAGGTAGAAGCTAGCCTCGTGTGCTATTAGCCTAACGGTCGCATCCTCTCCTCTCCATCCGATCATCGCTGCTTTGTTGTCGCTATGGGCTGCTCTTTGCTCCCTCTTTTCGTCGCTGTGTTGGCAGCCCGGTTTGTTGTCGCAGACCCGGAGGAACACGGTCCTGTCGACGGAGCTCCGCCTTCAAAGATAGGCAAGAAAAGCAGTTATTAAACCATCCTAGTTAGCTGTTTAGTTCAGCTAATGTTAGCCTCTCAGTCAGTCTGAGGGCTGATGAATAAGCAGCATCCATCAGGGGTCTCTGATACTGAAGATAAAGGCAAACACTAACCTAGTCTGAACATTGTGTGTCACGTGATTAAGAAAGCTTAATTATAGACACGAGTTATCTGTTAATTTGCTTTTTGAAGCAACCTTTATTCAAATAAACAGGAAGTAAAGCTTCAGCTGTCATCACCAGCCAGGAGGCCCAAAAAACCTAAAGATATGACGGAAAATATAAAAGCACAAAAGAGGAAATACAGCAAATCTTACACTTGAAAAAACAAAATAATAATGTGTTTGTTTGTTTGTTTTTTAAGTTAAACATCAAAGTAATAAATTCCTTTTAAATTCCTTTTTCCTTTTACATACAGTTGCAGTCAGAAGTTTTTCATACTGTCATCATAAGCATGAATGTCATGGTATTTTGGGTCTTTTTATGTTTTTGTTTTGCAAACAGCAGATTTACACTGTATTATAGATCTCCGTAAGATTTAAGGCACATTTCATCACCCAACCTCACTCTGTGTCTCTTGCTCTCCAGCTGTGGTTGGGGCAGGGATAGGAGGCAGCGCCACTGCCCACTTCCTGCGGCAGCACTTTGGCCCAGAGGTCCAGGTGGACGTGTTTGAGAAGGGAGAGGTGGGAGGTCGTCTCGCCACCGTAACCGTCAATCACAACGACTATGAGTCTGGAGGCTCCATTATTCACTCACTCAACCTCCACATGCAGGAGTTTGTCAAGCAGCTGGGTGAGTTTATTGACAAAGACATTAATTAGTCACAGCAGAGGTCAGATTTTAAAAATTTTCTTTGCTTTTTCAAACCAGGGGAGGGATTCTTGCGTTTTTTAAAACATTTTCCCAGCAAAAGCGATCACTTTACAAGAGGAAAATTAGAAACCTGACACTATGTTGGTCCTCCGTGTCGTCCTGTGTTTGCCCAAACAAGGTTTGAAGTATCGTCGCAACGTGGCCGGAAAGATGGCGGTATTTAACGGCGAAGAGATGATTCTGGAGGAGACGGACTGGTACCTGCTCGACCTGTTCCGGCTGTGGTGGCGCTATGGTATTAGCTTCATACGTCTGCAGATGTGGGTGGAGGAGATTATGGAGAAGTTTATGAGGTGAGTCAGAAATTTTAGTGCCTTTGATTATTATTTTTATTTTTTTATTTTATTATTTTGTCTCTTCAGCTTCTTTGCATGTTGGACACTTGATGGGATGTGGCAGGGGTGCCGCTACAAACTGCACTGTCAGGGTATCATAACTTTGTTGTGGGTGTCTCTGCAAGTGGAAGCAAAGCTTTGTTTATTTCTTAATGCTCATTTTTTCTCCTGCCTTTTTCTGGTGGCAGTATTGTTAGTTGATTAGTGGTAATGACAGGAATGCTCCAAAATTGGCACTGCAGATCCAGCTGAGTCATTCATGCCTTGAGTGCTTTTCTTCCCAAAAATTGTTTTTTCTATCTCACAGATAAGGTCTTGCCCTTAAAATGTGCACAGCATTCCCTTCTGGTGTTGCAGTCAGTGGGGGAAGCCTGTTTTTGAGCTATTTATTGCTCTCTGCGCCTTAGGCATCTGCAGCCATAATAACTGCAAAACCTTGACTCATTGTGTGCCTTTCCGAGCATGAGGTCTGCGTAAATATAGATAGCCATCTGCCTGGGATTTGCCAGAGAGAAAGGACCACTGACATGAAACTTGTCTCTATCCTCCAGCAACACAAATATACAGTGTAGAATTGCATGAGTGTATTTCAGATATCATGTCAAATCTTTTGCTTACATTTATATTTCCTCTGCTCAGTTTTGCCTTGAAAAATGAACCAGAAACAGAATTTTGCTTTTTCCTTCCTCCACCACCAACATCTATTTCCTCCCTCAGGAAGTGATTTTTATCTCTTCATCACTTTTTTCTTTCTTTTCTTCTCTCTAAGTCGACAACCACAAGCCTCTATATCTTTCTCTCCGTCTCTGATTTGTTGCCAATAGATTATTGCTGACTGAATAACTTTGAGCAGGAAATGAAACCAAAAAACAAAACAAAACATCTCCTTATTGCTCTGTCTACTGATTTAGTCATTAACTGTTATAATTTGTGTGTCTGTGCATGTGAAATATAGGATCTACAAATACCAGGCCCACGGCTACGCCTTTAGCTCCGTAGAGGAACTGCTGGACTCTCTCGGGGGCAGCGGCTTCATCAACATGACCCGGAGGCCACTGTCCGATTCGCTGCTGGAGCTGGGTGTGTCCCAACGCTTCATTGATGAGGTTATCGCACCCGTGATGAGGATCAACTACGGACAGAATGTCAGCATCCCAGCCTTTGTAGGTCAGCTAAGTGGGAAGATGCAAGCAGCAGTGGAGGAAGAAGTGAAGGGGTGATGAGTAGTGAAGTAAGAGGGCAACAGCTGTGAAGGTGCATTCGGGGACAGTTATGACCTGAACGTCTTCCTTTCCGATTTGGCTCAGGAGAAAGGAAAGGACGAGAGAGGAAAAGAGATGCAGGGTTGAGAGTAGAAGAGGAAGGCAAGGTGAGAGGGGAGCGGGGTGGTCTGTGGGAGTGAGAGAACAGGAAAGCGTGTGGGCAGCTGATAATTGGTTTAAAGCACTTGGCACTGTCTGTTCAGCGCGCGTGTGCTTGTGTGTGTTTCAGGAGCTGTGTCTTTAGCTGGTGCCCAGAACAACCTGTGGGCGGTGGAAGGAGGCAACAAGCTGGTGTGTTCAGGCCTGCTGAAAATGGCCAGTGCTAACCTGCTGGAGGCACAGGTCAACTCCATCTCTCCCATCCACTCAGGTAACGCCATCCTGATGTGTCCTGTTTTTTAAGGGGTTTTTTTCAGCTGTGACAGCTTTACTGGTATTGATTATTCTTTGTGAGTCTGTGTGTCCTTTGTATATTATAATCCACCTGTTGTGTTGAAGAGAGAGCTGAACATAAAAGCAAACATGAAAGAAAGAATGAGATGGTTTGTCATCCACAGAGCTTTTTTTGTAATACAGGAGAGGGACTCCAGTACCAGCTGAGCTTCACCACGGCAACAGGGACGGCATCAGAGCTGTATGACATTGTAGTGTTGGCGACGCCTCTACAGGCTAGCGTCGGGTCTGGAGTCCAGTTTCAAGGTTTCACGCCTCCGTTTGATGAGCTGCCTGGCAGCTATCACAGCACTGTAGCAACCATCGTCCATGGTTACCTCAACACTTCCTTCTTTGGGTTCCCGGACCCCCGTCTGTTCCCTTTCGCCAGCGTCTTGACGACCGACACACCTGATCTGTTCTTTAACAGCGTGGCTAGTGTTTGTCCCGTCAACATCTCAGCAGGGTTCCGGCGTAAGCAGCCGCAGGAGGCTGGAGTCTACAAGGTGTTCTCCCCACAGCTGCTGGAAAAGTTTCAGCTCAAAACGCTATTCAGGTCAGCCATGTTCTTCCCGGAAGTTGATCCCATAGTCATGCCTGGGCAATTCTGTATTTGTTTGGTCCAAAGTAAAGCCTGACGGATATGAGATTTTTAAAACCAATCTGTAAGAATCCAATATATTGGCCGATTATGTTTCCTAACGTTTCTTAAGTGTAGTTATGTAAGAGTCAGTTCAGTTTAAAAATAAACTTGATTTGTGGTTACAGCAAGTCGTGGAAGACTCCACGTTTACTTGTTTAGGCTCTGACTGGTTCAGCTGTTGTTTGTGCTTTTATTACATGTTTGAAGGGTATTTCTACCATCTCGTCCTATTGAATTTGTAATGTGTCGGCTGTGATAAATGCCAGCGCTGATATCGGTAAATATCAGTCAAGCTCTAATGTAAGTTTTTAAATTTACTATTGTATAAGACAGAAAACCAGCAAATATTCCTATTCAGGTAGTGAAATTTAGGTATTTATGTTTAGGGGAGAACATTTTTTGTTATCAGAATCCTCTAAATACATTATAGTTGTTGTTTTTTTTATTTAAAAAAGTTATTTAGTGATCTTACCACCCACATAGATCATTGGCTGCTTTACTCTATCATACTGTTCTCTTCAATTTTAGGTCGTACTACTCAGTGCAGGTGACGGAGTGGCAGGCCTACCCTCGCTACAGCAGCAGCCAGCGACTGCCACCTGTGGAGCTGCACCCCAATCTCTACTACCTCAATGGGATTGAGTGGGCTGGTAGCGCCATGGAGATGAGCTCAGTGGCTGCCAAAAACATCGCCCTGCTAGCCTACCACCGCTGGAATAGACAGACAGACATGGTGGACCAGAGAGATCTGGTGCACAGGATCAAAACCGAACTATAACAAACGAATGCTAAGACCCAGATGAGTAATGTGATGTATGTCTGAGTGTATGGACTCACCCAACCAAATTATAAACTTTTTGTGATTTTGACCAGTGGCAAGAGAATTTAGATGTCCATTTATATAATATAACCTTTCGTGAATGCATCGAATTTATTCAGTCAGTACAGTAAGTTGAACATAACCCTGCTGCCTCCTAACTAAACGTAAACATCAAAAACCATAAGTCATTATATTGGCACCATTATAGACTCTGGTCCTGCTCTGCTACTCAAAAGGCCTGTTTCACTTCACTGATTCTCTGTGCCACATAAAAGAGACATGTTGCACTTTTGTTTGTGGATTTATTGCCGATGCTAATTGGCAGTTTCCATCCAAAAATGATGCCGCAAGGACCTTTCCTTTGCCAAGAAATAAGAAAACCAAGCAAATATGGAGAACACCAGCTGGCGTACTGTATACTGTACGGACTGTTAGGAGGTGGTAGTGCTGTTAATGAACACCATTGAATAAAAATACCAGTTTATGGTTTTGGTACTGCTCTTCTTAAACAAATGTTTCTGTTTCCAAGCCAAGAAAGCGTTTAGAACAATAAGCTGTTGTACAGTATGTAACTGATTTAACTTTGTCATCTAATCAAAACCACAGCACTGCTGCTGCTACTCTCTGTAAATGTAGGGACTGTTAATGGACTGGTTGTTGCCACCAATGAAATCTCATTAAAGTAATCTCAGTAGGATTTCTGTAAATTAATAATTATTCACCAACCCATGGTAGTGGCCACTGGTGCAGTGCTCTATTGTCCCTTTCATCATTATCTCCCCTTCCTGCTGCTTTTGTTGCATAATCCAGCAGAATTTTTATTTTTTTCTTCAGGGAAATGAGCCAGCCGGCTTTCACAGTGGACTGAATAAAAGCAGAGGACAGATCCGTGCTGCTGCTGCTGCTGCTGACCACAAATGTTTCCATTTTCTCGCAAGCATTAAAAGCCTCAGTGGGGAAAAAAGCTTTTCTGCTGAGGACTTTAATCATGTAAAGCACACACATGAAAATTTTGGGTTTCACTTTCAGAATGGGGGAAAAGGTTTTTACGAAGACACAATGAGAAATCACTGACAGCTGATTATCTTCATGTGACTGAGTAGTCTTGTTTTCTGAATTTCTAATTTATCTGCACTGGATTTGGGCTGAAGTGGATTTCTAGAAAACCTTGTGACTCCAAAGGGCTTCAGTTGATGGATAATGTGATTTCTGTTGTGTGTTGAAAAGTGGCTGATGACACTGATTTAAAACACTGTGATGGCCTCAGAATCAATGTGGTGGAAACTGTGTATTTTTAGCCTTTTTTTATTTTATTTCAAATTTCAAAAATTGCTTCTTTAGGCAGAACAGTACAATTTGTAGCCCCAGTGCTTGTATGTAAATCTTCTAGCGAATACACATCTCAATACTGTTCAGACTACTTGTCTGTGTCAGCTGTAAAGTTCTGATCATGAAAACATGATCAAATTAAAGACGAATGGGGTCTGAAATTGGAATTATCTGGCAAACTCCTGTATTTATGGTCTAAATATTCCCATCCCAATTTGTGCACTCTGAATAGTACAGTAGTACTTAAATGACGGGGGGTGGGGTTCCTCTACAAGTAAAAATTAGTATAGTCATAAAGATGTAATAAAGCTGTACTGTAAGAACAGAGTGAAAGTAGTAATAAATTGCCCCTTGGTATTACTCATTATACTGTCAGGTCCATAAGTATTTGTATAATGACACAATATTTGCATTTTTGTCTTTGCATAGCACCACAGTGCTGATTTTCACCTTTAGTTGAGTGAGTTTATCAAACGTGTTGTATTAACTGTTTGGAAATTACAGCAATTTTTATACAGAGTTCCCCAGAGGCTCAAAAGTAATTGGACAAACATAATTTTAAATACCAGAATTGTTTTAAATACTTTGATGAAAATCGTTTGCAGTCCAATCCTCTGAAGTCCAGAACCCATGGACATGACCAGATGCTGTGTTTCCTTCTTTTAGATACTCTGTCAGGCCTTTACTGCAGCCGCCTTCAGCTGCTACTTGTTTTTGTGTCTGTGGCTTCAGGTTTGTCTTCAGTAAATGAAAAGCATTCTTTAATAGAGGTCAGATGTTGTAAAGATTTTTTTATTAACCATTGGAAATAATTCTGTCATAATGCACTTTAGTTGTTTTCTGTGATCTTTCAGGCCTTTTGATGTTTCCGAGTTGGTCAGTGCATTCCTTCTTTTTCGCAATGTACCAGATTGTTTATTTAGCCACTCCTAAAGTTTTTCCTGTCTCTCTGTATGTTTATTTTGGTTTTCAGCCTAATGATGTCCACCCCCACATGCATCAAGTATTTCTTCTTACCTGATATAGAGTTCCAGTGAAGAGCTATCAAATCGAAGGTCAGCTCCAGATCTTTAATCTGGCCATCAATGTGCTTGTCGCATTATTGTCCAATTAATTTTGAGCCTTGGAAAATGAAGGACTGAATAAAAATGTCTGCAGTTTCTAATCAGTTAACGAAATGCTTGTTATTGTCCAAATACTTAACTAACTGTACACGACCTTATTGGTTTGTATACAGCATGTTATTCTTGTAGCTGGCTGGTAAGGCAATTTTACCTACTTGACATCCAGCTGGGGAGTTCAGTCCAGTGATTCCTGTCCTTGGGATCAAGTCCTCCATATGAGAGATCTGAGGGGCTATTGAGGGGGCTTGACCACCTAAAGACTTGATAACAATAATGAGCTGAGGGCTATTTCTGTGCTAGAGGTCAGATGCCTTAATTCATTCGGAACCAACAAGTTAATGTTTAACAAAGTGTTTAATTTCACAAAATGTCATACACTGATTGTAAAATATTGTACTTGCCTAAATGTATTTCTTTTTGAAATGTAAAAATGAAGTGGCATTAATCAACATGTTGCATTTAATCTTTCTGATGCACATAATAATGCATTTTAGAGTAATTTGCATTTTTCTCTGACTGTTAATAGAATAAAAGTTATTCTATTGTAGTGAGCTATTGTTCATTTTGGCTTTCAAACAAGGACACTAAGAAGTCTACTTCAGTGCTGACTATGTGTCAGCAGACAGGGTTTCATTTCTTCTCTATTAATAATTACACATAAGAAAATTGATTTGTTCAATAATGCAAAGTCCTGAAAAACAAGCCTCCTGGTGTCTAGTGAAGTTTTAATTCTGTGCTCCAGTTGGCATATAATCTAAATCACTCTGACAGGGTAAGTACTTATTCCACAATGAATTATTCGTTTTGTTTTTCCTGTCACTGCGTCTGTACCTGGAGAATTGACCTTATCTCCAGGAAGATTACCCAAGGTCCTTTGGTCGTTCTCTGGATCACAGAATTTCTGATGTAGATCAGATCAGATGGTTACTGAAGATAAAGACATTAAAAACACATTTTAATCATCTACTGAAAGAAATGCAATTAAATATATATACTGTATTTTCCAGGTTATTATATGTAAACGGATGATGGTGCTGCTGTAGGAAACTTAAGGCAATAAAAGCCATCTCCAGGCTTCCAGCAATGTAATGTAACATATAATGGGCTCTGTAGCTTCTCCTGCTTGGCTTCCTAGCAGCAGGAAAACAATCACACTGCTGAAAATAGAACGCAAGTCTCCCAAGGCTCAACCACTTATGCACTTTTTCGTCATTCAATCAACCGGGTTGATGGGCACATAGCCAACTAGGTCAAACTCTTATAATTAAATATTTATGTGACCATTACCCTGTTTTACAAAGGCTTGATGAGTTATGACCATAGTCATAAATCATCAAGCCTGTCATCATGCACCTTTATATACTTCATAACTCATAATGAATTGACTGAAGATGTTTTCTTCAGATGCAAGGTTCCCCTTGATTTTAAATACTTTGGACATTACATCATTAGTAATGAAAACTGAACAATAAAATATCTCTCCAGTCGTTTTTATAATGCTTTCAGGTTGTTTACACCAGCAGGCCAGACCAGGAAATCTTTTTTTTTTTCCCAATCTTCTATCTAATTTTGGTGAGCCCATTCCTCAGTTGCTGTAGCCTCAGTTTCCTGTTCTTAGCTGACAGGAGTGGCACATGGTTTGGCTTTCTGCTTCAAGGTTTCAAGTGTTGTGCACTCACCAATGCTTTTCTGTGTGTTTTTGGTTGGAAAAAGAGGTTATTTGAGTTACTGTTGCCTTCCTATCAGCTTGAGGCAGTCTGGTCATTCTCTTCTGACATCAACAAGGCATTTTTACTCAGAAAATTGCTCCTCGCTGGATATTTTCTCCTTTTCAGACCATTCTCTGTAAACATTCTCATCACAAACACTCAGACCAGCCCATGTGACACCAACAAACATCCAACATTCATGCTGATATCACCTTTCTTCCCCCTTCTGATGCTCGGTTCAAACTTCAGCAGGTTGTCTTGAGTATGTCTATATGCCTAAATGCACTGGGTTGCTGCCATGTTATTGGTTGATTAGATATTTGTAATAACGAGCAGATGAGCAGGTGTGCCTAATAAAGTAGTTGGTGAGTGTATGTATCATACAGACACAAGCCAAATGGGTTAGGGTTAGGGTTAGGGTTAGGGTTATGTATCTGAAATACATCTACTGATTATAGCATTTTTTTAGAGAATTATAAATTGCTATTAGACATATTTTAGATGTGGGGTAAGTGGTTAAGAAATTGGACTGATGGATTTACAACTACATGCTTATAAATGCTGAAAAACTAGTTGATGCATTAATTACTTCTAGGGTGGACTGCTGCAATTCATTATTATCAGGATTTCCTAAAAACTCCCTGAAAAGCCTTCAGTTGATCCAAAATACTGCAGCAAGAGTACTGACAGGGACTAAAAAGAGAATCCAGAATTGAATTCAAAATCCTGCCCCTTACATACAAGGTCTTGAATAATCAGGTAGTACCATATCACCCTGTTACAGCACGTTGCTCCCAGACCGCCAGTTTATTTGTACTTAAAAGTAGAATGGGGGGGCAGAGCCTTCAGCTTTCAGGCCTCTCTTCTCTGTAACCAGCTTTGAATTTGGATTTGTGAGACAGACACCCTCTCTACTTTTAAGATTAGGCCTAAAACTTTCCTTTTTGCTAAAGCATATGGTTAGGGCTGGATTAGGTGGCCCTGAATCTTCCCTTAGTTACGCTGTAATAGGTGTAGGCTGCTGGGGGATTTCCATGATGTACACTGGCTCTCATCTACAACATGTCTTTGTCCTGTCTTCCTCCCCTCACCCCTACCACTTGTGGTAGATGATCAGTATGTAGTACTATGCAGTATGATCCTTTTCTAGGCTGGCGGAACGATAACTCATAACCAAAAACGTGTGCTAAATAAAGGGATTTAATTGATAACAGTGCAGCTGAGTGGGCAGACACGAGTTGCTCTGAGGATGCAGTGAATTCCTGTGAAATCTAATTTCAGCAGAGGCTCAGAAATTCCACAGAACTCTCTCTCTCACTCACTCACTCACTCACTCACTCACTCACTCACTCAC